AGCCAGCATGCTGGCTAGGGAATTCTGGGAGTTGAAGTCCACACATCTTAAAGTTGCCAAGTTTGAAAAACATTGTTGTGGAGGATGAGAAGCAACAGGGCAACTTAACAGAACATCACTGGATCAACTGCAAGATAATTTTTAAAAGGCAGCTGCTGACCAGCAGAGAAGATCGCAGCCAGGGCGAAATGGCTGAATAGGGCAGCGACCAGCTGCTGGAGTGGAGGGGGCGTGCCAAGTACTATAGTCAATCAGAGCTGGGATTGTCACTATCTTGGAATGAAGTGCTGCAGACCATCTGCTTGGAAGGGCTTAAGATGGCTTACACAGTACTTTGAAGCAGAGATTCAAAACACATGCGGGGGATGCCTTTGTCAAAGCACTCATTAAAGCAGTGTATGGTGTGTTCTGGCAATGGGGCAAGCAGAAAGTATGAATCTTCCTCATCTGTGCGCTTCTAGTCAGAGTTGAGCATACCATTTCCAAGAGCAGCCGTTAGATGCCTGTAGCACTGTGATGGCACAGCGTAATGAAGTTGTGTTCAGATTTCACCTAAGCATGCATGGGGCTCCTGGGCAATGCTTGTTTGTGTGAAGGGAAAATCTGGTCTGCAGAACAGATGATGCCCATGAAGTCAAATTAGCACTGACATTTTTCATAAGATCTATCCATTTGGTATCCACCCCAAAAGTTTCTCAGACATTGCCGTCATTGGGCAAGGTATCATTCTACTGGAATTGCTGAAATACGCAGGTTGCACTGAGGACCTGAGCGAGACTCATCTATTATTTGTATTGTGTGGTTCCACTTACATCTTCCTAATTATTCATACGTTCCAAATCAGAAATCAGTAAATCTTCTAAGAATACTGGCATCTTGTAGCTTCTCCTTTGCTACTGTCTTGTCCTCTTCTAAGGTAGAAGAGACAGAAAGGGAAGGGAAGTCATTTTTAAAGGCACAATAGGCTGAAACCTTTTTTCCTCTAGCATCCAAGGGTTTTGTTTTGCTTTGTTTGTTTGTTAGTTTTGCATGCAAAGGAGAACTGGAGAAGAAGGAGCAGAACTTTGCATCATCTGATTCTTCTCCGGGATAGACTGGGGGAGAAAGTTGAGCCACATCTCCTAGTTCAGTTAGAATGTAATGAGAAAAATCAAAACTGACATGTTTGTCCATCCCAACTTTCTGGCAGGCTTTAGATTTCAGTTTGGATGGAAAAATAAACCTGGCTGAACTCACTTTTGCCCTGGAAAATGAGCTTCTCATAGCCAAGAATGGGATATATCAAGCAGCACTGGCTGCTTTCAAAATGGAGATTCGGCATTTGATGTGAGTATCTACCTCTCATAAATATGTATAGAATGAGATGGAGATAGTAAACAGGGTAAGTGCCTTATCAAAATTAACACCACTGTGATCAGTTGCAGTGTTGTAAATGTTTAAATCGGCTTCAACAAAAGCCTGAAATGTAGGGCGGTGGGGATTCCCCAAGGAGGACTTCACCTTCGACAAAGCTTCAATCAAAGCACCACTTCAAAGTGCTACAGTTGCTCTGCTGCTTTGGTCTGAATGCTGTGCACAGAGGCCCATTTCCAGCTGAGTGAAGTCTTCAGCTGGAGAGAATCTTTCTGCTTTGACTCAAGGCATTGCAGCAAGCAACTGATGAGGGGACTGGAAAACTCTGCAAAAACCAAGGCCGTCCAAGGCAGGAGGATAATAAGGAAATGTTCTCTTCCTTTCCAAATTGGGTTTGATTGCTAAAGATCTGTGAAATCCAGAACTGTGCTTCCTGCCTTAAATGGTTGTGGTTGGAGAGAACTGGCAGGCTACGGCACTAGAGCTTCATGTTTTCTACCCTTTCTTGACACTCATAGACATATATCAGCTCAGGTGGCAGTTTCTCATCCTTACAAAAGCTCTGACCTGGATTAGCCTGCAGCATTTGGTTCAGGATCAGAAGAGGTTTTGGCAGGGGAAGGGAGCTCTTTTAAATAGTAAACTCATTTGTAGTAGAGGAAAAGTTTGAACCAAGATCTTAATTTGTGACTCTGTTTCTTAGCCATTCCATTACCCCAGCAAATAGGGATATGTAGACTCATGCATACGCTTTGCTCCCATCGCCACCCAACTTTGACTCCTGTGATTCACTGGGGCTTGTTTTCTAGCATAACCTCGCAGCCTGAAAGATTTCACATAATAAAAGCCCAACACCACCACATTGCCTAATAGCGATTTATACACTTGAGTGCGATATTTGTACATACAGGTAGATAGATATACGCACAGGTATACCTGGAAATGTTCAAGCCATTATCTTCTCTGTGTTTCTGGGAAGCTTAGCAAATATTATCTGATAACTGAGGTTTATTTCTTAGGGAACGGGCTGATCTTGTTCTAAGGGAAAAGGAGAAACTGCGTCTGGATTTGGAGAAAGTAGAGAAACGAGCATCACTAATGGCCACTGAAGTGGATGACCATCATGCTGCCATCGAACGCCAAAATGAATATAATCTGAGGTATGTTGCCTTTTCCTCAGGATCCACAATCTCTCTTCATAGCATCACTGTGATTTAAGTGACAGTTAGGTCTCTTGAAATAACAATTGACACGGTTGGCCATGGGTTCGAGCGAGCCATGAATGTTGGAAACAGGCTGGGAAGTAGATCTACGAACATCTTAAATTGCTTTGTTGATGTGCTTCAGAATATCTGTGGGGAGGATTGACTAAGAACTGCAGGATGAGGCATACTGAGGAGATTCATAATACCCTTGAACCAGGGCGGGAAGACTGTGTGCTGCATACAAGCCCCACATCCATTTTTACCACCTCTTGTGTCCCCAGGATCACATCACCAAAGTTAAGTAATCATTGATTTTTAGTGATGTAATTTCTCACTAAAAAAAGGTCTTAGAATACATGCAAGTAATAAATCATTGATTTTTAGTGATGTAATTTCTCACTAAAAAAAGGTCTTAGAATATATGCCCAAAGCCTTCACGTATATGACTTAACATACAGTATATGACTCCAAGTGGTTTGCTTACACTCCCATACTTGTAACAAAGGTTAAAACAATAAATGGTTATAATCAATGACAATACATAACCATCTCACACACCAAAGAGCAATAAAAAATATTCAGGAAAAACAGACACATATTGCTGGAAGGATCGACCTCACAATTTACTAGCCTTCTGGAACATCAAGTTTTAACAACTTTCCAGAATCCCAACAAGATTGGGACTAGGCAAATCTCGAGAGAAACACTGTTGCAAAGAAGGGGGCAGCAACTGAGAAAGATGAGGATTTGGATCCATGAAAGAGTATACAATTCTCAATTCACCCAAATTTCCGCATGCCATCTTGGTGTGATCCGGGATTCTGCAGTATTTTCATACATTTAGAAATGCATATGCGCCATTTGTCTTGGGAATGAGAACTTTCTTTTTAAATTCTCTCTGGCGAGGATGGCCTGGGATTATTTTATGAGGTCATTATCAAGAAGACCCCACCATGAACACCCATTTTACTGATAAATACCACTGAATCAATGAGATTTTGCTCGGTTGCTGCCCCCCATTGATTTCCAATGAACTGAATACTCAACCCCTGGCCTTTCTTAATCTGTGTGCATAGCAAGCTGGATGAGGAGTACAAGGAACGTGTTGCAGCTCTCAAAACAGAGCTTCAGAAGGATTGCGAGCGGATACAGCAGCAGGCCAGCAAGCAACAAGCAGAATTGGAGCAGGAGATAGAGAAGATGAAAACCGAAGAGAATTATCTCCAGGACCGCCTTGCTTTGACCTTGAAGGTAACGATTGTCGTAAAGCAGGAGGGCACAACTTATTTCATGCCACAGACCATGCTTGGTCTTTGAATGCTTGCAGGGAGCTGTATGCCAAAATGTAAACAGGGCTCAGCTAAAGAAAGGGATGGGACCATGACTAAAATTAAAATAATCTAAACGCAATTCTTATTACTTCTCATGTATTAAATAACTTTGCCACGCTCATATTTATTTAATATATGCATTTATTTAGAGGAGCACCAGGCTGTACATGCATCTCAGGGCTTAAAAGAAGTAACCCAGTTCCTTGAAAATGGTACCAATGTGTATGAATGCCCGTCTCCCCATCTGGATTGCATTTATTGCATGCATCTAATTTTTAATGGGCTTATGTTTGGACTGATGTATTTTATTAAAAAGCTTGATGTAAATTTTTAAATTATGTAAAAAATTATTCTTCTGGGGATTGAAGGAAAGGAGGCGGGATGGGAAAGATGAAGATACCTTCTTCTGACATGATGTTCCATGCTGCGTTCGTAGATTCATTTGAATGCATAAATTGAAAGTTAATTTTAAGGCAATTAATTAGGCTTTAGAAAAAGAGAAGGGTTTTCTTCTTTAAACATTATAATGTTCCTCCAGGGACCAAGCAAGAAATAGAGACCTTAGATTTTCAAACCAGCCTCCTCTGGACCTGAATAGCAGCCCTTTAAATATTGCCTACTCTCATCTAATGTCACTCAACCCATTGCCCTTTTTATTTGTTGGAACTACAATTACCAGCATTTCCAGTAAGGCTGCATGAAAAGTCCAGACATTGTTAATAATGTCAGGTTGAAGAAAACTAATCTAGGAAAAATACAGTCAATTTTATGTATTGTTTGGGAGCCAAATTGGATACTTTGAGACCCTCTGGAATCCTTTTTAGGAAAATAGTCGCTTAGAGCATGAGCTCCTGGAAACTGGAGAGAAGTTGGTGAAGTATGAAAGCATGATGAGCAAATTGCAGAATAATTGGGAAAACGTCTTAGCAGAAAAGGTAAGTTGCATCTGCTTTTTAGCAATCCTGTTGGTGTTCTGTTCAGCACACCAGGAGGTTATCTCTTAGGACAAAAAGAAAGCAAAATCCCAGAATATATTAAAAATGTCCTTCTAGTATGTGAAGATGTTAAAATGCAGTTAATAAGGGCTTTGGATCTGGAAGAATCTGGCATAAACAAAGCCAAAAGAAATGATGCAGAGATTCTTTGAAAGAAAGATGGTAAGATGGATACAATAAAAGTCCACTCTTAGCCATCTGAATCTTTGCAAAGATGTCTGGACCTATATTTTCAGACTTGCAGTTCAACCACCTCAAAGAAAAGCCATTCAGCAAGTGACTGCAAGAATAAGGATTGTATTACTACCACCACCCTAATTATGGAATGGCCATTCTGGAGAGACACCTTTTCTGGTGTTCTTTTTAGATCAAGTCTTTTGATTTTCAGGAGCTTCATGATGTAGTTGTTGTAATCAGGCAGAGGGTAGTGTTTTGTAGCCCACAAATCACTCTATAAACTTTTTAATACACCACAGCCTATAAAAACACAATACCATGGATGTACTATGGGTGAGTTGTAGATGTTTTCAATTCTGTTTGCCATTTTATTAATAGAAGAGAATATATGTAGCTCAGGGTTGAACTGTGGAGTCGTTGGGGTTCCCTGAGCTTGGTTGTTTTCTTGCAAATGTTTTGTTACCCGGTTAGGTAACATCTTCAGTGCTAGAATGGAATGGGGTTTACTCTCTGTTTAAATATAGTAGCTTGCCCTGCCAGTGTTGGTGGGGGTGGGGTTTTTTTTTCTTGGTAGTTCCTTGATTAGGATATTGTTTACTACTTGATTGTTTGTCTGACAATAGGTGGTTCTTGCTTAACGACCACTCAGTCAATGACCATTCAGTCAGTGACCATTCGAACTTACAATGGCACTGAACAAGTACTTACGACCAGTCCTCATACTTATGACGATCGCAGCATTCCACAGTCACGTGATCACCATTTGTGACCTTCACTGCTGACTTCCAACAAGCAAAGTCAGTGGGAAAGCCAGTAGGAGGTTGCAAATGGTGACCATGTAACGTCACACTTAATGACATTGTGGGATTCACTTAACAATGGCAACTGGACGTACCGGAACTGCCATCACTAAGCAGTGCTGTGATGTGATATTGCGTTTTATGACCATGTTGCTTAGTAATGGAAACTCCAGTCCCAATTACCAATGTTAAGTGAGAACTACCTGTACTTTGTATTAATTATTTATTGGGGCTGTCTCTCATATGTCATCCAGAGTCACATAGTTTGAGTTCAGCAGCCACATAAATGCATAAATAAATAAATGCTACATATATCTATATACTGTAGATATACTGGTAGCAACACTTGCCTTGCAAACCTCCAGGTTTGTTCCTTGGCACATTTGTCTAAAGCAATACAGGTAGTCCCCAAGTTAAGAACGAAGCCTATTGTAGCAAAATTTGAGTTAAATACAGAATGATTCAAATTAATTACACAATACTACTTGTCCAGTATTATACAATAATACTGTTCCGGCTGACATGCAAATTTGACTTAAGGACAGACCTTGGGAATGGAACCCATACTTAAACTGGGGACTAGCTGTATTCCTTAGCTGGGTGCCCTTCAGCTGTGTGTTGTACTATAACTCCCAAATTCCCAGTAAATGCAATCGGAACAACTGAGAGACACCAGATTGAGGAAGTTCCAGTTAAAAAGTCTCAGAGGGGTGACAGGCTTTTGGCCAAGGGTAGGTGAATCATTGCCCGTATGTCAGCTCCCTCTATTCAGTGCACCAGATTTCCTTTCAAATCCAACAATAAAGCTTCATCCCCTGGACCACCACCTAACTGCTGTGCCAATGAGGAAAACAAGGCTGTTCAAAGGTGGGGAAAGGATGACCATGTGTTCTTTCGCTGTAGTTTGGAGACCTAGATCCTGGCAGTGCAGAGTTCTTCCTCCAGGAGGAGCGGCTGATTCAGATGAAGAACAAATATGAACAGCAGTGCAGGGTAAGTATCAAATTTCAGCCTGGAAGACAACAAGGCTTTCCTAAGGCCCATGCCAAGAGACTCTAGTGAACCACTTTTCTTGAGTTTGTGTCCCTGCATAAAAGAAAATAATTGGATCAAAGTGAATAGATTTAAAGGAGACCTAGTCCATCTCATTTTCCAGGTGTGAACTGGTCAGCTGACTTGTGTAAACCTCTCAACTTCGCTTCTTCCTCTCACCCCACCATCTGCAGAGAAGAGGACTGGCCTACCTCCCAAGGGGCAACACCTAGCCAACCTTGCCTAAGCCCCCCAAAAACTAAAGAGTCAGACCTAGTTAGGACTTCAATGGAAGTCTACTACAAATCCCCAAGGCTTTAGGACTGAGCGGTTCAAAAAACAGCCTGAAAGAAGGCAGTGAAGAACTGTTTCCATAGTTGTCAAGAAAACTGCATGGACATGTCAATGTAAACACCAAGAATCAAGACAGCCATTTTGGTGTGATGGTGAAGGTGCCGGACTAGAAACTGGGAGGCTGTAAGTTCTACTCCTCCCTTAGTCATGAAGCCTGGCTGGGTGATTTTGGGCCAGACACCCACTCTAAGCCCAACCCACCTTACCGGAATGAGGAAAATGCTAATCCCAACTCCTTAGCCCTCTTTAATGGCTCCCGGAAACAACTTGTGACAGCAGCTGGTAGACTGGTATTGTGAGTTTCCATTTGGAGGCAGGAAACAAATACTGTAGTTGAGCACTTTCATAAAAGAAGAAATACCCCAAACTTACCCCTGTCCCCATCCAAGAAAATAATAAATTATTTGTTCTGCCTATGTTTGTGAATGGCTCTGCCCAGTTTGCCTCACTACTCCACCCACCACAAATAGATTGCCAAGAATTATGCTAAGGAATTTGCTAGGAAAACCCTGCATTTGAGTAGCTGTATTTAGGATATTACACTGTTTCCCTCCATATTCCATAGAATAGATTTGGCAGTCAATTTCATATGGAAATGGTATTACCAGACTGGAAATCTGTGAGAAATTGAGAGGACCCTGGGGAAGTAATGGGAAGAAAGTTAGGTATAACCAATAGATAAGAGAGGAGTTTGTTAGTAATTTACTTCATAAAAAACATCTCAGTCCAGTCTGCCAAAAGCCTGCAAAAAAGAGTTTTAAGAGACCCTGCCTTAATGAATTCAATAATAAAAGAAGACTACAGGTTCCTATGGTAATTTCCAAGATTCTGTATCTTACCCCTAATCCTTGTATTAAGAACACCTTGTAGAATACTGTGTAATTCTTGTTCATGCCTCAGCTCTGAGGAACATGACAGAATCCTACATTTGCTGCTAAAATTTTAGCTCTGCCTTTGATGTTCATCTAGAGTGGGAATGGAACCCCCCCGGTCCAAACACATCCCACAATAGCTATGAATCTGTCTTCAGCTTCTCTTGCTTTCTAAAGCTTCCATTTACAGTAGCCCCCGGGTTAAGAACATCCAGGTTACAGACGACCCATAATTAAGAACAGAGC